TCTAGTTTATTATGTGGAGAGGTCATTCCAAAACTAATAAGATACATGTTCTAGTCAATTAGACCTTTCCTAATTGTTTAGGATGCTTTCTAATCATTTAGCAAATTTTTAAAAATGATTTATAATAAAGTTTGAAAGAGATGAAGTTTTAAAAGTCGTGTGTGTGTATGTGTGTGTGTGTGTGTGTGTGTGTGTGTGTGTGTGAATCATGTGTACCTTGATAGATACTCATACTTAATTTACACACTATTAATTATAAACAAAGAAATTACCATAAGGCACAGGATCAGGTGAGCCTTCAAAGACTTCAGTTCCATTGATATTGATCTTAGCATTTGACTTGCTCTAAGTACCAGAACCTTCTTATTTATAATTTTTTATACACTATTTTTCTTCTCTGATTAGGCACGTGATTAATTTTATTTTCTCTTTTGGCATCATCAAAACCCCAATTAAATTCATACATACATGCACAACAACTAGAACGACATTCTCCCTCTTTTTTATGATGACATTACATCTCTCTGGGAGGTGATAAAACTAAAACATTAAGATAAAAACATATTGGAGTTGTTAACTCCCCCTCACCTATGAAAAGAGTATACCTAACTCCCTTGGAAGTACACTTCTCCCCCATTGGCATTATCAAAAAGCAGGAATAGAAGAAGAATGTTGACAAATAAACATCACATAGAACATATATTTCATATTGATAAAATGGAGAAGAATAGGTGGAGTAAGCACAAAGCATATTAATTGATGAATATGTTGGAACAAAATTGGTTTTCCCATATCCCTTAGGTTTTAATGATAAAAAAGTATTTAAATAACAATTGGGTATACTAATGTATGTTCAAGTGTGTAGGACCATAGACTAAAAATTCATATAGAATCCAAGTATTAGTTTTGACTATGAACATTCAAAGAGAAGCTTGAAAAACAAAATCTAATGGATCAGAAGCTGAAGACCAGAATCTGAAGAATTCAACTTTTGAAGAGGTCAACATCTGAAGAAGTCAGCCTCTAAAGACCAGACTTTGAAAAAGTCTGCTTGTGATGATCATAACTTGCGCTAGTCAAAGAGCAAAGACCAAGGTGACTCTGATAGGTCACTTTCAACCTCTGGGTCTACTTTGTCACGTGAAGACCTAAGCTCTATTTTCTTCATAGTGCCTATTGGGATATAACTTCTAATTCCTTTTGTATAAAAGGATTTTTAAACTAGCTTTTACCAACCTTGACTATTTGGTGAAAGATCCTGACGCCTCTTTTGAAGCTTCTTAAAGGACTCTATTATGATGGATCTTCAATGACTCTTTTCTTCTCTATTTAAGGAGCTATAAAGTTGAATAAAATATACTGATTGACACTCAAATAGAAGTTACTCTATCAACATAAAAAGCACAAATTGACTTAGGATTTCTTATCCTTGTATATCTTAGAAATCTTTAAGTCTTAAAAGAGTCTATTTGCATTATATTCTTTATACACCTCTAATTGTATATCAAGTGTACTTTCTCAAACAAACATTTATCTGCTAGGTAGATTGTTAAAAGTCTCTTACTAAGTGTTTGAGCATTTAAAGGCTCTTGCTTGTGTGCTTGAGCATAGAATTCTCCTACTTATGTGTTTGAGCATTAAAAGTATCTTGCTTGTGTGCTTGAGTATAGAAGTCTCTTAATTTAATGTTTGAGCATTAGAAGTCTTTTGCTTGTATTCTTGATCAAATTGTAATCTTGTTTGATATTATAGTGAAAATCTCTTGTGAAAACAAGGGAGGGGACTGGATTACTCTCAAGTTGTGAGAGGAAGCAGGATAACTATGTGTGTTATTCTTCTTTCTTGCATTTTATATTCATTTCCTACCTCTGATTGATTTAGATTCTACAACATGTGTTTAGAATCTGACTAAGAGTTTAAAAAGAAAGAAAAATTCAACAAAAGTTCACCCTCCTTCTTGTGTTTTTCTCACATTAAAAATGATTGATTTAGAATTTATAACTCATTTCGTATGAAAAATATTTTCTTTAAGAAGGGGGTTGGTAAAGTTATTTGTTAGTTGATAAGTGTGAAGAAGATATCCATCCTCTACCAAATGTAATTTTGATGAATACAAAGATTGATGAACACTATTAAAGAATAAAGATCTTGAAAAGTCACATGATGAATTCTCGCCAATCATGAAGCTTAAATCAAGAAGTTTGATCATGGTTAAGATTGATGAAGATAATGATGATCAAATAAAAAATATTGATGGTCAAATGTTGATCTATGATTAAATTAATCAAGTTAAGAATCAAGTTAAATGATCAAGTTTAAAGGTTCATTAGAATTCATGTTGTATCACTTTAGATGCTCAGAATATTTCATACATTTTCATCTCTAAAGTTTCTAAACCATCATGCATCAAATCCATTCAAGCATTACCATGAAAAATATATTTTTTTTCACTTTCATCATAGTGCTAATCGGTTACATGAAAGTGGTAACCGGTTACCAGTTATTTATCTTTAATATTTTTTTAAAAAGTGTTATTTTGTAAATTATGTCATATGAAACCACCATAATCATACTTTCAGATTACATGTTTCTTTTGTTTGAAAAAAAATGAACGTTTTTAAAGTGGTAATCGATTATAAATTTTATGTAACCGGTTATAAATTTTATGTAACCTATTATACATTGTAAAAATGTATCTTTTCATGAACCGTTACCATTTCAAACCTTTGCAAACCTTCATGGAAATGCTATAAACATATGCATCAGATGTTAGAGGTTTCTAAGGGTGTATATTAGGAAAGATACATCTGATTTTTCAAACTACCTCTTTCATACATTTAAATCCATACAACTCAAACAAGTTTTCAAGTGCTCATACAACTTTAATAATGAAACTTTCTCCATGACTTTCATATCATTCAAACATTCTGAGCACTTAAGGTTTATATGTTTGAATAGTAATACTAAGAAAAGGTGGATCTATCCTATTGGAATCAATTCAAGAAACAACTTTATTCATTTTTATACAAAGTGTGTAAATTGTTTTTCATCATAGTGTGTTGATGAAAGGTGTTTGTAAATAGAAAGTGGTGTACATATTTGGTTTTTGTGAGAATCATCCTAGTGTTTGGTGTTTGTGAAAAAAGTTCTTTGAATTAGGTTGATTCAAAGTTCACCATAAGTTTCATGTTTACGTATGCTTTAAAATGTTGTAAAGAAGTGTGAGACTTGTACAACGATCTAAACATAGTGGAAAATCCTTCAAGATATGAAGGGACTAGATATACCCTTAGTTGATAAGGGGAACTAGTATAATTCTCTTGTGTTCTTTATTTTTTAGTACTTTAATTTTTTTCTTCATTTTACTATCCTAAGAACATAACATATTCATAACTTCAAAAAAAATATAGCAAGTTAAAAATTGTTGCGCAATAACGTGAAAACTCAGGCATCTTAATTCACTTTTCTTTGGTTTTATCTCATAGTTACAATTAGATGAAGATAAAAATTCAATTATTCAATTCTTTTTTCAACATTATCCCTGGTAAAATGGTATTCAATCTTAATGTGTTTCGTGAGAGAGTGAAGTAATGGATTCTTGGTGAAATTTATGGCATTAGTGTTGCCACATTTAATCGGGACAATTTTGAGATTAATTCCATAGTCACTTAATTGACGTTTCATCTAAATTACTTTCACACAAAAAAACTAATTGTTGTCATGTGTTCTACTTCAGTTGTGAATAACGCAACACTTACTTGTTTCTTCCTATTTCATGAGACAATCGAGTTTCTAAACAAATGACATGTACCACTAATACTTTTTTGATACAATTTACAACCACTGAAATCATAATCAGACTATATAGCTAAACACAATCATTCCCTTTTGGATATCATAAACCAATTTGTGGTGTGCTATCGACATAACGCATAATGCGATTGACCACAGTGAAGTGTGATTCTTTTGTGTTTTCTTGAAAGCACACACATAACCAGACAAAAAACATAATACCTGGATGAGATGAAGTAAGATAGACATAGGAATTTATCATATCTCAAATATTTGATCTATTCAATTGATTTTTCTTCCTCGTATTTATCTAATCTACATGAAGCGCTCATGAAAATTATAATTAATTATGTTTTTTTCATTCCAAATATCTTTCGAGGATCATTGAAATACTTACCCTTATTAATAAAGGGGTCTTTTGATTTATGGATTTGAGAAAGTACTGAATCTTCTCCATCATACACATTTCTAATTCATATTTCATAATATATGAGAAATTCTTATAAAAAGATTTTTTTAGTATAGTTCCAAAAATGATGTTATCAACATAAATTAACACTAATAAAATTTTATTCTCAGATTTCTTAATAAAACATTTTGTATCAACCTTTCTTTTTAAAAATTAATTTAAAAAAAAAATTGCTCAAACGGTCACGAGGATTATTTTAAATTGTGAATTTGATTATGAATACTTTAGTGTTTATATCTCTTTTTGAATTATTCTATTTCCAATATTTCAACAAAAACATATTCTATTCAACATCCTATAAGCATTGATCTTTTTACACCTAATATCCTAATAAACTTTCACTTAAAATTGATTTATTTAATATATATCTTCTGGCCATAAATTTGTTGACTACTTTATGATCTAACCAACCTTAACAAACTACTCTTAGCTTTTGGAGTTGAGAAACCATCATGATATATACATTATTTTTATCTTTGATTCTTATATAATGTTAGATTTTTTAGGTTAATCTCAATAGTATAGTTAATTAATTAAAAGGTTTTGTTTTGCTAAGTTAGAAAAGGAGAAAAAGGACAAAAGTGCCAAATCAAATATTTGGAGAAGAATTTAGGTTTTCCCATTAAATATAACATGACATGTGTAGCAAAAACTTTTAGAAGTCAAAGCCAAAATAAATTGCAAAGAGGTTTAAGTTTTATATATAGGAACCTCCGTCCAAGCCAAAAAAACATCAAACATGAGTGAGAAAAAATTTGAGAAAGAAGAAGAAAAAGCAAATGCAATGTGGGATTGTGGAAGTCCTTTATATGATTCATATGAATTGGTCTCTCTTGATCATCATATCAACAAGAATCTAATGTCATTTCCATCTCACCATGGATCAAAGTTCACAAATCCAAGACTTGTGCATAATTATGAGGATATGATCCATGTGAAGGGAAATAATGTTGGATCATTAGAGAAAACTAAAGAGTTTATTTGGCTCACAAGCTTTAACAAGTTTTTGTTGAAGATAATGAAGAAAGGAGAAAGAAGAACAAAGAAATGACAAGATTTCATGAATAGAATGAGATATGAGGGTAATAATTATTTCATTCTTGCTATTGTTATACATGATTTCTAATAATATAAGAACTTTGCTATTAGTCATTAATCTTAATTTTAGTGTGATAATCCTTCTTATCTTGAAATTTGTAGTTTTCATAAAATGGATTGTTTTGTAAAACAAAAACAAATCCATTGGTAAAAGGGCCTAGCCCAAATAAAAGTAGAATCTAAAAAAAAATTACTTTTAACTCCCTCAATTATACTTATACCTCCACAAACAACATAAACCACCAAAATAATTTTATTCTAAAAAATTAAAAATAATTTTATGAAAATTACATATCCCAATATTATATCAAGAATTTTGTTATTTTAAACTTCTGATAAGAAAACAATAATATTAGTTATATTAAGAGACAGTTTTTTTTGAGCAAGTCTATTTTATTAAATTATTTGAAGACGAAAAAGATACAAGAAATTGAGGATTTAAATTGTGTTTGAGTTTTAAAAAAATTATGAATGATTAAGATAAAAAATGTTGTTTGGGAATGTGAGAGCTCAAAAATTCTCATCCCATATGACATAAATGTTGTTTGGTTTTGTTTGGAATAGGAGCAGGGCCGTCAAGCTTTTCTTGACACTTGTTCACCTACGTCTGATCATGTCCTTACATAAAATATGAAATGAAGAAATAACTTATTAATTAATCATACTTGTTCACCTATATCTAATTGTGTTTTTTGGAGGTGAAATAGTTTTGACTAAGTTAAACTCTTTTTTTTCTAAATGTCATGGGTCATTAATTAAGCATACCAACAATATGAATAATTAATTTTTTCATTGAATGTATGTTGTTAACTATAGTTAAGGTTTATTGCTTCTTTGAAGAGCTATAAGTTCTAACTTGTCCTTGTTCATTGAGTTTATTTCTAAAAACTCACTTTGTTTCAATGATGATTTTTTCCTTTAGATGTAGGAAAAAGATTACATGCAAATTTATTTGGAATTGATTAGGTTCTTCTTGCATGGAAATTGTTCAACTATCATAACTTATAGATTCATCTATGGAAAATTGTTTCATAAGATATATTAGTCTCATGAAAGAGTAATCATTTCTCAATAATGATTTGATCATTAATGGTTCTTCCTTGTTTCCTAAGATTAGATATTTTAGGTGAGATGGTTTTTCCACTGGTGATTGGGACTAGGGTCGTTAACATCATATGGTTCTCAATAGGAATCGCTCCCACATAAAGTTTCTCTAGAGGGTCGTTGTAACGTCCAACTGCTTTCAGGATTACCGAATGACTCCAAAAGTCAACACAAGTTTTTTCAGCATGCTTTATCCTCACTCACATGCTTTCCAAGCAACTTCCCAGAAGGTCGCCCATCCAAATACTACTACAAGTCAAACACGCTTAACTATGGAGTTTTTATTTGTTAGGCTACCGAAAAAAGACATATCTTGTTGGTATAGGTAGTATCAATCAATCCTTATATGTTTTCCTTCAACTATCTAGTCCCATACCTTCACAGCCTCATTCATAATCATCTTATTCCGATGAGAATTCGGGAGACCACTCTCCATGCTCTTCTACCTCGGGTGTTACAAACACCCTCACCCCCTTTGGCCTCGGGTGTTACATGTCCACTAACTTCTACTTGGTTCGTCCCTAAACCATATTGTACCGAGAAAGGTTTACTCTAATACCATTTGTAACGCCATGATTTCTTTCAGGATTAACGACTGATCCCACAAGCCAACACAGATCTTTTCAGCATACTTTGTCCTCACTCACACGCTTTTCGGGAAACTTTCCAAAAGGTCACCTATACAAATACTACTTCAAGTCAAACTCGATTAACTATGGAGTTGTCATTTGTTAGGCTACCGAAAACAAGATGCACCTAGTTTATAAAGTATGTGGATTTCTGTAGTTGGTAGGAATGCTTGGTGTGATGACCCTCTTGAATAAGCCTCTCAATCTCTTTCTTTAGATTGTAGGAATCATATGTGTGATGACCCTTCACCTTACGATACTTGCACCATCTATTAAGCTTAGACCCCATAACTCAGATTTGGGAGCAGGTGGCGGAGGAATATCATGAGTGTGGAAGACTTCATGCCATATTTGTTCTCGGCAAGTGTTTAGTGGAGTGTTATTTTTAGTGGGTCTTCAACTGTGCTTAAAATTATCTCGATCTCTCACGAGCGAAGTGTAATAAATTATGTGTTTCTGTTGGGATGTCTCAGGAGCGTCAGTTGTTTATTCCTTAGCGTCCTAAGAATTTCTCTCTATATTAATTTCCTCACCCTTGATATAACATTTGGTTTGAGCTATGATTTCTCCGTCATGGAAATAAATGGCTTATGCTTAAGGGACTCGTTGAAATATCAGGCTCGCAAGCTGTTTTGGAATGACCCTACGAACATTTCTTGGTCCAGGTTTATGAATTTGATGGTGGCCTTATTAAAAAGCTAAAAATATTCCCTTAAAGACTTAGAGGACCCCTAGAGAAGGCTGAACAGGCTTGTGGTTGATACCTTTATGTGTTTGCTCGTCAAGAACCTGTAGATTAGCTCCTTCACAAGATCATGTTAACTAGTCACTAACAAGTGCAGTAAGTTCAAGTACCACTTCAATGTGACATCCTATAAGGTGCAAGAGATTATATTGCACTTTAAAGAATCACTCGCAGTGATGATATACACATGTGTGTTGATGGACACGACATGCTTTTAGGGGTCCTCCTTTCGTCATATTTAGTTAGCGAGGGGGTTGAAATTTTCTGACTCAGGGGCTCCCTAAACTTGTCAGGAATAGGTTAGGGTCTATGACTTCGATTTCCTCAGGGAGGTCGACATCCTACTATCGATGTTGAAAGTTTATGATGGTGTCTTCCAAAGCTTGATTGTGGTGGCGAAATTAGTCCATACAACTTGTGTTTCTACTATGGCTTGGTGATCGTTATTGGAACTGCTACCGACAGACATGACGCCTCATGTTTATATTGTCTTGAGGAAGATGAATGAGGCAGTCTATGATGGGAATATAGGTGGGATCTAGGTTACTTTTACCAGGGCCCCACGGTGGGCACCAATTGTACTTGCTAAAAGTACAATAGTTGAGAGAGCCTACTCACATATGGATTATGAGAGACTTCGTGTATTTTCTCTCTATAGTAGTGAATATCTTTCCTAATTGTGGGATTGGGGTATTTAGAGAACCTCCTTAGGCCTAGACTAGAAAGCCACTACTAGGAAAAACACGTTTAACCTCGGTTGGATATGAGGTGTTACCTCAATTTCAAAGGCGAAGCAATGAAGGACGTCATAAAAAATGACCACTTTACCTCTCTTTTGAAACTCCACCGAGAAAAAAGGTTGAACTTGTATAGTGAGTTTGATCCATAACAATTGCTTATTCAAATTTTTTAAATGTGCTATTTTACCTCTCGATTATTAGTATAATAGAGAGGTATTTAGAAAACCTCCTTGTTTTATTAATATGCAAAGTTTCATATTTTACATTATTTTTGTTACAATTTACAAGTACAAATATTTGACAAATTTTTAATCTGATTCATCATCATCATTGTCAATTTGGGGTGAATAACAAATGTTAGAACCTCGTTTCATTGAATCTTGGAGAAGATCAAATGTCAGATATTGCACGCATTTGTTTCTAGTATAAAATAAAAAAGGATTAGATAAATAAAATAAATTTTCAATTACATGATAAGAGATTATGTTAGAAAACCAACCTTAAACCAAAAAAAAATCTGCTATTGCAATCCATCACAAAGATCTTTTCCAAACTTTTTTAAGTTTCACTTTTTTCATAACAAATTCTTTTATTATCCATGTCTAAATTTCACAACATAGAGTCTAAGATATATAGTGGCGGTGTTCGCATTCTAATTGGATGTAAAGGGTTTCTTATGGATTGATGTGTTGGTAATATCTTCATTGTTGTTACTTTATAAATGGTCAACAAATATACATTGAGACAAAATTGAATTATATTTTTCCTAGGTTTTGACCTAAAACCGAGGGAAAATATTATTTTTTAAAAATAAAAAATAAACTAAAATAGAGACTTTTCCCCTCGATTCCTAAATCAACCGAGATAGTAGATTATATTTATTACAAAAACAAAAAAGATGAATGGAACAAAATGGAAAGAAACATGTATTGTTTCATTTTTCAATTTTTTTACCATTCATCAATTTCTTTGTGTGTTGCAGTAATCAAACAACGGACTATATTAAAAAAAATGCAATATGATTAGGAATAAATTTCTCAATGTTGTCAACCGAAGAGAGCAATATTTTATATAATATTTTCTTTGATCTAAAACATTGAGGAGTTATTTAAAAATATGATTAAATGCATTTTTAGTACCCCTATTTTAATATTTTTAACTTTTTGCACCCCATTTAAAAAAACCAGCTTTTTGGTCCCCAAAATTCACATTCCCTGCTTTTTTTCCCCCTAATATAAGGCAAGATTTTATTGATGTGGCAGGTAATATTTTGTGCCACATGTATAAGGAGATATCATGTCATCTAATTTGTAATTTGAATCTGATTAAATTTTTCAATAATGTAAATACATTAAATTAATTAATATTTTCAATTTAAAACAGCTCGTCTTCTCCACAGTACAAGTATCGTTCTCTTCTACTTCTTTCTGCAGCTTTACTTCAGCCCTAAATTTGGGTTCATCTTCTCCAACCCTAAATCTGAGTTCACAATAATTTTTGGGCGTCTTCATCTTTTCCAGTCGTAGTTAAATGTCACAAAGTTTGAAGACAAGTTATAGAAAGGTTGTGGGGTACATTCAAGAAGATTGCAAATGTGGGTTGGGATCTCTGTTGATGACTTCCTAGACCAAATTGAACCCAGGTCATTGTTTTATAGCTATGAAATGTTTAAGGTACAGTATTATTTCTCCTATTCATATTCAACGCTTTCATATTCTTCAATGCCTCAATCCTC